GAAAGAGATCACGTATTTTGGGAAAATAGAAAACGAGTATGCCTTCAAAAAGCACCACATCAGCCGGATAGATAGTTAGCATATTTTCATGATCACTGTAAATTAAATAGATAAAATTTACTTACAAACAAATTAAAGGCGAGGATTATGAAATGAAGATAAGCAATTATTGCCTTATTTATTTGATTTAATAATGATGAGAGGGGTGTTGCATTGAATTGGAGCAATTATTCATAACTTTTTCTTTAGCGATAAGCATTAGGAAATTTATTACGAAGTCGCCGAAACGAATTAGAAACAGTATTATTGCAATCGAGTAAATCAGTATGGAACTTTATACATATATGAAATAAGCGAAGTAAAAAGATTAAATATATAGATTTACGAGTTAATGTAAGACGACGGGCAATGAACTAAGCGCTGATTATATTATAATCGCATGGAAACTAAATAAAATGATAAAGCATTGAGTACAATGTAGTCTATCTTAGCTTTTGTGTGATACTTTCCAAGCTGTTCAATTGTTTTAAGCAACCATTGTTCCGGCAACCATGACNGAAGAGATAACTTACACTATGCAATAACACTTTTTACATTATTAAAGTTATAATACTTTAAATAGAAAATGTATTTGGGATTTTGTTGCAGCGTATTTTCATGTGATATGTACTGTGTAAGTACACCGAACTCGCAACTTTTTCAATTAACTTTTTAAAAATGCTTTATGTGAATTAATTGCTTAAAGACTAAAGTCTTACTTACAGCGAATTTGAGCGATAATCATAGCATGGCACTTTAACAATTTTGCCCTTTAATATATCCTGCAATGAGTCATACATCAAATTTTCATTGAACGCATCCGGGTGATCGAAATTGAAGAGGCCCTTTTGCGCTTTTATTTTTTCCGCTGCTGTTAATTCGCGGTAAAAGCTATCTTGGCTGATTGTAACCACCTAAAGACGGTAAAAAAAACACGAAATGAAGAATTTTGATCCCATAAAGATCTCCATATTCCTTAAAGAGTATTGACATATGTGATTACCTGCCGTTGCGCTTGCTCCATATCAGCTTGACCCAGCTGTTCCATTATCTTTTTACATACTGTCGACTAAAAATAGAGGAATTCATCTATAATTAGTGGCTAGAAAAATTCAAATACAAATGCCTGAATAGTAAAAGGACTTTCGAGATTGTATGCAGGTTCTTACATTATCCTAATGACTGAGACTATAAACGATTAACTGTTTCGCTACTGCAGACTTCCCCAAAACTAAACTCGGTTGCACTAATAAACCCTTGCATCCAAAGCTTTGAACCAAACCTA